TTTTTTTTTTTTTTTTTTTTTTTTTTTTTTTTTTTTTTTTTTTTTTTTTATTTAAAGGTTTCTAGTGAAACTTCATCGAGTCTTGGTTAAGCTTACTTATATAGGGAAAGGATTTTATCTTCTATTGTCTGCCCTGGCATTAATTGCCCACCTGTCCATCTACCCAATTTCAAGTAATGAGCGCAGTTTGCCCTGCAAAATCCTAAAACGGATTTAAAAACTTATGAAATTCAGTGAAATTCAGTAGTTGGCCAAAGCCAATAAATTTAATTAGATCAAGTAACGCGCTGTGGCTTGGAGCTGTAACCAAAGCAGCTGCCAAAGCCACACGCAGTGCAGACCGGAAAACTTTTGCCAAATTAGTTCAAAGTTCAAATTTAGGCCAACACCAGCAGCAACAACAAAATTCGAAAAAACGGCGAAAAAAAAACACAAACAAACAGAAACGAGTCAATTATTAAAAAATAATTACTTTAGCCAAGTTGCAAGCATTTGTATTGCTGTATGGACCTGCCACGCCCACCTAACCAAAGCTGTGAGGCAAAAGGCATTTGTTATTTATAAGAGATTAAGCCACAGAAGAAGAGGCACAAAATAATGTAAGGCGAACGCGGAAATTATAATAATATTTACCTAAATATGCCTACAGTCAGCTGCTCTCTCTCTCTCTCTCTCTCTCTCTCTCACTCTCTTACACACTGTCGCACCGTCTCTGTCTCATTGTGGCTTATTTATGGCCACGTCCCTAATTGAATTGCAGTTTATTTGTCGGGAGCTACTTACACAAAAGCAGCCATCGCAATGGCCACAATTTTTTAATTAACTTTCGGTGGTGCGGCAAAGGTCAGCGGCGCCATTGGTGGTGCGCTGGCGCGATGGTGCGATGGTTCGATGGTGCGAGTGGCCAACATGATTTAAGCGAAACAATTATCTGTTTAAATGGCTTATTGAAATGCGCAAAACATTTCACCTGGAGCACATTTCACCAACTGCACAAACTGGCTAACAGCCAGCGTCAAGGTTTAATTTTATTATTTTTCCAGCGTAACAAGATTAAAAAGTTTTCCTCGACAGCCGCTGCCAGTGTTTTCCTTTTTCCCGTGTGCGCTCTGACTATGGCCAAAGTGTTTGGCGATAGTTGCTGAGCTGCTGCATTAAAAACTTGTTGCTTAATGAAAATTAAAATGAAAATGAAAATGCAAATGGAAATGAAATGGAAAATGTTAAATGGAAGTGGCAAAGGCAGCGGGCAAATGACTCGCAGCCCATTCGACCGCAGTAAACAAACCGCAGCAGGAACTCAAAGGCAAACATTCAATACAAATTAAGTAAAAAAAAAAAAACTAAACCTAAAATCACAGCAAAGCACAAAAGTCACAAAACAACTGAAAGCAACTGCAGCTGCTTCGACACCAGATGCAGTTTTCCATGACAAAGTGCTAAACACTCTTTGCGAGCATTCGAGAGTGGAGTTACGAGAAGTAGAAAGCTTAAAAATGTAACTGTTAATTTGATACAATCAATTTATATGGGAATAGAATTAAATTCAAGAAAATTAAGAATTTCTTAAGAAGTGTGCACAGCGCCTTCTTCTATTTTGTCCATTCAAACGATGGAGCTTAGCGATCTGAGAGAAATTCTCATGTCATCTTTATGGTAGGGGGAAAGGAGACGGAAAGAGGAGCATGTTTATTGGTAAGTGAAACATATTTATATCAATTGAAGATATTCAGAGAGACGGCATTGCATTTTGAAGCGTTGCCCAATGGGGCCTATGTCCATTTTGTATGGCAAAAATCGTCTAGAGCTAAACAATGATGGCATGATGCGTTTGCAGATTGCGAGGACCACTTCTATCAAAAATATTGTAGCTCACAGATATTTAATTTTAAAAAAATATATAAGAAGGAAAATAAAAACAGTATAAATAATAGATATTTAATTAAAAAAATAATAAAATAAGGAAAATAAAAACAATATAAATAATAAAAAAAAAATGCATACAAAATATGATTTATCGAATCATAAGCAAAAGAAGAAAAACTTAAAAATTAAATGCTGCTTTTATTTATATTTAATTTTATTTTTTTTTTTAGATTTTTAAATAAGTATTTTGCCTAATATTTTATTTTATTTTTTAATTTTTTTTTAGATATAATAATAATGATAATAATGATAAAAAGTACTTTGTTTAATAGTTTATTTTATTAATTTATTAGAAGGTTTCTTAATAAATTCGAGGCTCCTGAGTATATTTTATGTGTCTGTAATTTGGTTGTAGCAGACGGCTTAAAATTTAATGATTCCAGAAACGGCTTTACTTAAACTTTACTTAGACAAGAGAGATGTTTGAGACAAAGTCCTGAAGATAATTTATATTTCCTTAAAACAACTAATTCTGCAGTGACGATTAATATCTATTGTTTAATTTTAAGTTATTTTACATAAGCGTGGATTAGTTGGAATGAGATTGAAGAGCTCTCAAATAAATGTGCTGGAGTTAATGACTCATATGAAAGCAAACGCAGAAGGATATATATTACATATACACATTTCTGTTGTTTGATATATGTTATGTATATCCTTTTGTGTTTGATGTCATATAAGAACTTCAATCTAAGCAGCACAATTAGTCAATTATTTTACGAGCAAACTCTTTTCAATTTCCACGCTCAATTTCAAGCTAAAGTTCAAGCATTCGTAAAACGTTCCTTAACTTTCTCTTTGTCACAGAAATGATGATGGGCCGGCGGTATCAGGCCATAATCACCATTTGTGGTTGGCGATATCCTAATGCCTTTCATATAGTCCATGGGATAGCAGGAGAGCGCCTGGTACTCCACTCGTTTGACCTTATCGAGGTCGGTGGAGTAGATGCCCCTTAGGCGCTTCATTTCGACATAGCGCTTGAAGTCCGCATCGCCATATCTCTCTCTGCTCTCCTTATAGATGTCGGCGAAGCGCGAATACTGCTGCAATTGCGCCGCCGGATACCAGCTGAAGTTCGCCTTCCAGCGGCTTCGCATCTCCACAATCCGCTGTGCTATATTGCGATGATGCATCATCTGGTCGGTGGTGATGACGCCGTGCATCATTAGGACTTCGGCCATCGTAAAAGCGAACTCACAACAAATGGAAAAATAGCCTGTAATCGTGTGACGAAATGGATTTGTGGTAAATCAATAGAAAATTTATGAAAAGCCAACTCTAAAGCCTTTAAGTAATTTCAGAGCATGCCAAAGCCGCTGTAGCTTTGGCCAAACTTTTAGGCTTTTATATTCGGTTTTGGGCTTTTCTTTTTTTTCAGACATTGGGTTTACAATATTGAATCAAAGCGGAGCGCATCAACTGCATGCCAGCAGCCAAAAATTGTGATGAAAATACCAGAAAAAGAAAAAAACAAAACAAAATATATTAAACAACAAAGCCGTCAAAATGCGCTGCGGTCAACAGAAAAAAAATACATATATATATATATATACATATATATATATTTATAGATGAGCAGATTGTCCATTTGGTTTGCTGTTTGGGCATATACACGAAATTAAATTCTATAAATTGTGTTTAATTTGGCCAGCCCAGCAGAGCTTGAAAACAATTAAAGCTCCATGCTGAGCGAAATACAAATGCGAATGGCAATCCGAATCGAAATTCAAATGCAAAATCCAAGTTCAAATGTTGTGCAGTCAAACACAAAATGAGTTGCTTCCGCACTGATATGCCAGCTATGTGTGTGTGTGAGAGAGAGAGAGAGAGAGAGAGTGAGGTGAGAGGGCGCGGCAGACAGTCATGGGGAGTGTCACGTTTGGTGTGCCATAAATTTCGCATTATTGCGCGCGTATTCGTGCATAGATGCTCATGCATTTCGGTTAATAAAAACCCCAATGCACAAAGAAAAAGCGAGAAGCGAAATAAAAACAGTATGCAACGACAGCAAACAGCATTACAATAGCAACAACAACAACAGCAACAACAATAACAGTGGCATCAGCATAGAAAACAAAAAAAAAAGAGAGAGACACACACAAACACACACAGAGAGAGACATTTTGATGGGCAACATGGCGTATGCTTAACCACATCCGACTACACACTTCCGCGCATTTGGTGTAACAAAACCGCGCGCTGGTTGTTAACAAATGACTCGATGTGGTCGCCGCCTTTGCCAATGCTGCGGATTGGACCCACAACAACAACAACAGCAACTAGAAGAGCAACAAGGGCAGCTACATCAAGTTAGAGTGCTCCAGTGGAGGGAGTGTGTGACTAGCTAATACCCTGCGTGGGTATAGAATATATTATATCAGCAATTGCGTTTAGTTAAATGATTGAACAGATGCTTGGCTGTTTTACTAAGTGCAGCTATTTCACTTGATTGGAGACATATCTAAGGCGATAGTATCGATACCTGTCAATAAACTACAGCAAATAGCTTTATTCGATTTAAGTAGTCTTTATGAGTGTATCTGATCTTTTATAACTTCTATCTTATAATAAATATCATCTATTACCTATTAGCTATCATCTGCCATCTACTATATATTATCTTTCATTTATCATCTATCGTCTATCGTCTATCATCTATCATTTTCCATCTATCATCTTTAGATTTTCTGTTTTGAAAAGTTCTTTTCTGAAAAGGCTTTCAACAGATTTTGCCCACG